TCAACCATACCGAGTGAATTTCACTGATGGTTTCTTCTAACTTGGTCGAGTGTTGTGTAAGTCAGATGCGCATTGTTTGTCAAATCATTTTTTTCGCATTTTTTCATCATGACAACATTTCGATCTATTTTTACCTCTTTTTTTTTGTTTTTCATTTTGAATTCTTTTCATCTACACACTCGTTTTTTTTGAAAGACTACAGATAGCAACAGCAAAACATACAAAGTAAACGGTAGAAGACGACTGATTGTAAACAAGAAAAAAGAAACCATATTTGCACAAAGAATTTCAGTTCATAGAAATTGTATGCGTCAATATTTATTTCTATACAATGTGTAGGAATTGACATCGTTCAGTAATGAGCAATAACTAATAAAGATGAACTATAAGAAAAACCTATAAGAAAATCTGATTATAGACAACAAGCAGACTACGATTATTTTAAAAATGATTTCATAATTTATTTCATTCTAGGAAAGATGCGACTTATATCATTATAGACATCAGACAACTTTTCTGGAAGTTGATTAGAAAAACTGATAATATTCATTGTAATTACTAGTTTTTGAATTCAATTCATATTTTTCTTCAATGAAAAAAAAAGAAACGACTGGATAAACTTTCATTGGTGTTCATTTGCACTTGGACTGCCAAATATTCTTTATATTATTAAAAGAGCATTTTCAAAGAAACTCGATTCGTTTGCGGCGTGATCTTTGAGAAAACAACTAATCTTTTAAAATACTTTAAATTGAATATAAACCTCGAAATTAAGAGTAGGCTTCGCTGAATTTCCGTGGCTATACTAAAGATTTTATTAAGAGTATATTTGTGGGTATAGATGTTAGTATTTTCTTCACTTACATGCGCTTTCTACTAATGTGTATCTTAGTCTACATGAATTTAACTATATCTTTAATTGCAACATAACACTTCATTCGAAAAATCATTATTCACATGGTTTATTTCTATCATTTTTCACTGTATTATTTATCGTGAGAAAATCTGATGAGAATATATTTTCCGATCTTTATTTAAATCTTGTGTCGATAATTGAAGAATATTAGTTTTATGTCAATTGCGAACTTCACTATCGATTTTCATCATAAAATGAAGTATGACTGATAATATTTTTCCGTATTAATAATATTCATCGAAGACTTAAACAACAAGTCTTCGACCAACAGTGCGTATTTGTAAGAAACTGAAAGAAGAACAAAATCTATAAGTTACTTTACATCATTGGAATTCACAATTGTAATTCAATATGATAATGTTATCCATGGGCGGCGCACCAGCACTACAAGGGGAAGCAATTGTTTCCCCAAGTTGTTCATGTTCCTTGATAAACTAGAGTAAAAATACATAACTCAACATGCATATATCTCATGGACGCGCATCAGTAAGCAACGAGTAATCAATTGCTTCCCCTAATTGGGTGTAGGTGTGAGTGTGGGTATATGATTCTATTCACTTAAACCCAAACCCAAACCCACGCCCACATTAGCTTGAGTTCAACTTTACAAAACTATTCCTCTTCTATTGTCCATTCTCTTTCCTTCTTATTTTATTTTCTAGTGGTTAAAATTGTGATTCAGAACCGTGATGAGTGTTTAGATTTGAATAAACAACACGAAACGTGTCATCGAATTGAACTCTGTATTTCTTTAATTATTTGTTATGTCAATCACAATGACTTGTTATTAGAATACATTCATTTGATTTCTAGAAAACAATTGATTGCTGAAAGCAACAGTTGAGAACAACAGATTATATTTGTCTTTTCTTTAAGATAGATAGATTAGTCTGTTTTGAGATTGATTTTCTTTTTTCCTCACCCTCATGATAAAACGCATGTGAACAAAAAATGTATAAGTGAATCAAAAAAGATAGTTGATCACTTTGAGCTAACCCTAGTCAAAGTACTCAGAGGGTAGTACTCATGTCGTACTCGCACTAGAAACTGAGTATTTGAGTACGACGACTGATTACTAACCGTGTAATATTGAGTGTTTTGGTAGTACTACTATACATTACATTTTATTTAATATCAAATTTATAACAAAAAACACAGGCACACACAATAGAAGTTTGAGAAAAATAATCAAAATAAGAAATGCAAGTGTGACATCAGTTTTATACATTTTAATACAAAATATACGGACATAGAACAATTTTCTCTAATAATGAAGATTTTTTTTGTGTAGATCGTCAAGAATGAGAGTATAATAAAACATGAATTGAGAACAGTAAAAAACAATCAAGAAGAAAAACTAAAAAATTATTTAATGACACTTAAAAATGCGATAGAAAATAAACATATATTATGGCTTAACACGCTAAACATCAAACACACATTCTTAAATTCATAATCGTTTACAAACTAAAAAACTTTTTGTCTGTAGTGTATTGATGCATCTTATTATCTTAAACTCGTGATTGATTTATAACGAAAGTTGTTTGTTGTCATTCGTTTCATCGCATTTCATAATCAATCTAAAAAACCTTATTTTAACCAAAGATATCCTATATAAATGTAGAAAATAAAACTAAAGAAAATATACATTAATATGTTTTAAAAGAATTTAACCTTATCCAAGAAGTTAGTCAAGGAAAAGAAAAAACAGTTTTCTTTTCTTTTCCAAAGTCATTATCAATATATTAATCGTATAAATGACTCATCAACAAAGAATAGAGATTCAACTAGATAAAGCATTAAATAATTTTCTTCTACTTTTACCTTTGTTCTCCTCGTTTGGTCTTGCTTTCATTTTCTTTTCGATTTTAGTCCTTGTCTTTCTCTTTTTCTTCCTTCTCTTTATTCACGCTGAAAAGTCGTACTCGTTTGATGTTCGTTGTCACTGAAGCAATTAAGCAGAAGATTTCAATTTTTAATTAATATTGTTGAATAAATGGTCGAAAAATAGATTATTGTAATTGCACACAGCGAGCGACGTGTTTGTTATTCGTAGTTTCTTTCTCCCGTCGTAGTTCTAGCCTGTTCATTTTTCTTCTTTCCTCTGTTTTTCGTTGATTTTTATAATAATTGCAAAATATGGTTGTCTCAATCTATTTATCTAACATGTTTTTGTCGTTCTATCAGTATCATTAACATCCACGTGTAATTTTTTATTCTGATTACATTAATATTGCGCACGAAGGATTGCTGTCCTTGATGGTTATAAAGTGAGTTGATTTTAATTATAGTCGTCGCTCGTATTTTGCGCCGCATCAGGATCTTTGCCGATTCCTTTGTGGATGATGGCATAGAAGGAGTTATGATCGGTATAGCATTGTTTAACAATCTGACTATCTATTTGCCATCTTTTTTCTCTTCGTTTAATCTCATTTTGATCAGTATTTGTGTAATTTCTCTTTTTTTGTGCTCGAAAATCTAGTGCACATTTCAGCGACTATTTTCATGGAAATGACACAAGACAATCAGACATGTCATCAGGTGAATATTTTCCTAGTTTTTCGACTCATTGCGAGAAGATCATGGAATAATCGAATCAAAGAATTTAGAACTGAAATTCTCTGTCAAAACAAATATTTCTTTTGCACGATAAAAAATTTCTAGTCGAATCGATTATCTGACTACTTTTTTAAACTTTATTACCTAGCATACGAGTGTTTCTTTTCGAGCTAAAAATTCTGGAAGATTCGACTGGTGCATAGATGATTGACTCAAATATTTGATATATTCCTGTTCCCATATTTATCTATGTCCGTGAATACTATAATCGTAAGTCGCGAGATATTTGAGGCACTTTTTGTTGTTTGATTTTTTTTCAAAGCATTTTAAAAGATCAACTTTTAACTCTTGAATATCTAGTGTCTTATCTTCAGAATGTGAAAATTCTGAGTAAGTTTGAAAAAAGTTCCAGATAATAATATATTTTGCATACATTCCGAGTGTCAGTGAAAGATCAGTCAAAAATATGTCGGAAACAGGTGAAAACAGGCTGCAGAATCATTCATCAGTATCAATACATGATCTTGATCAACAGGAAATCCCATCTACATCAATCTCTACCCATATGTGTGATACTATCGAAGACGATCAATCCTCCGAACAATTGTCAAAATTTGTTGATGAACCAGAAATTACAAGATCAACATTGGAACCTTTTAGGTAAGGACGATTTTATGAATAGGTGTCTCACTATCGTTTTTTTCGAGCCTTAACTCGGAATAGTAATCAATTTTGCCAAAAGCAAAAAAACGTCTTTCTCTTTGGGCTTGAGCGTAAGATTTTTTTTCTGACGTCAGATGACGTGTTTGGTTTCGTAGTAATTCGCCGGTATCTGAAGAGGCATCTGAGTTCTTCACGTGCGGCGTCGATTGGAGTTCTCACGCTGAATCTACATCGCATTGTTGGCTGCCCTATTCATTCAGAAATTCTTCTTCCGGTTTATGTGTCCATATTTCGTGTAAAAACGGTAAATCGGCTTCTGACTTGCCTTTGATTGAATGCGCTACTTGTTCACTAATCATGCATGCTGTTCACCTTTCCGCATTGCAAGAAGCAACGATAAATGTTCATCATGCAATTCCACGATGTCGTCCATCGTTCATGGATATTCGTACAACACACGATGTTGGTATGCATGATCAGCACCATTGGTCACACGTTCCGTCTCTCTCGGTCCCATGCACACATTGCAAACGTAAGTCATTCAAAGGCACCATACATGACAATGGTAAGTGGGCATTAATCAAGCCAACAGTCGGTAATAGAGCAGGAAATGCAAATACAAAACTGAACGAACCTTCGAGCAGTCTTGTGTGCTTATGGTGCTTTCGAAGATATCATCGAAGATGTTGGGAAACCATCAAGGATGAACAAGACAAAATAAAATGTGATTACGGCAAATTTAGGTAAACTCAGATTGGAAATTTTCATATCATCTTTATGTTGTTATTCATTTAGTGACATTGTAGTTCGTCCTCAATGGCTACATCGCATAGCCAATTCTTCTTTTAAGTTTCGTGAACAAATGCCAGATTACCTTGAGACGAATGATGTATCGTCAACACCTGTTATATTTTTCATCAATAAACTTTCCGGCGGTAAGAAAGGTGATCAAGTCTATCGTAAGCTCGTTCATCTACTCAATCCACGACAAGTATTTCTACTTGAAAATGATACAACGATTATGGAAGCTCTAAACATTTATTCGTCACTGTCCAACGCACGTATTTGTATTTGTGGTGGTGATGGTACAGTTGCCTGGATACTTAGTCGACTTATGGATGCGTTTCCGTCATTGAAAAATCCGCCGGCAGGCATTTGTCCATTAGGCACTGGTAATGATATATCGCGTGCACTTGGTTGGGGACATCGATACAAACCGAAACAGCTAATGGAAACACTTACGCAAATATCTCGTGCACATCCAACGCCACTTGATCGATGGAGAATTCAAATCGAACCACTGGAAATCAACGGATCCAATAACGAATTTGTCAATAGACGTCGACGTTTTTCTTCGTTCATGAAACATCCAAAGTTCATTCGCGATGCTGAGCAACTATTCGACGACAATCATCGCACGCCGATCAATACATTCTTTTTCAATTATATCAGTTTTGGACTGGATGCAGCAATTGTAGTTGATTATTACGCGAATCGAACACGTCATCCATCCAAATTTACGTCGCCACTCAAGAATAAAATCCTTTGTATGAATGAAAGTCGGAAGTATCTCAAAGACTTTGCCTTTGAAATAGCATGGGACTTAACTTCATATATACGTTTAATCTGTGATGGACAAGATTTTACCGATTCGATACGGCATTGTCATTCTCTTGTGGTACTCAATACTCGAAGTTTTGGTTCTGGTACTCATCCTTGGAGTAGAACGTCAAAGAATAGAATTGAATCACAATCGGATGACCACGAAGATGATTCTTTCGATCAAATTTCGACACATTCTCTTTCAGCACATGACTCACCTATCAATGATCATGATGAAAATCAAACGACAACGACTAGTGGTGTTTTCGCCCGCACTGCTTCAGATCATTTCGAGACACAGAATTTTGGTGATCGAAAGATTGAGGTACTCGGTTTAAATACAAGACACATGGCTTTAATTCGCATGGGTTTTCGTGGTCATCGCATTGCTCAATGCAGTCAACTGCGCATCGAACTTAACCATCCGATGCCAGTGCATATGGATGGTGGACCCTTTTATCTCGCTGGATCGATGGCTGTCAATATCACACATGCTGGTCAAGTCATAGTTTTGACAAATCACACCAGATAAATTTGAAGTTTTTTTTTTAATGGCATAGAAGGTACTTTTGGATATTGGACTTATGAAAGAGAACAATAACATTGATCTTAAACTACCGTAGTATATATTCAAAACCAAGACCAATAATAGTTCTTTGTTCGATACAGACCGATTCTCTCTCTCTCTCTCTGCGAACTAAAAATTAAACAACACAATCTATGTTTTTCTATTTATATGTAATGTATTTCTCTAAGTAGCATCAGATGAGTTAAAATAACAAAAAAAATAGTGATTCTTTTCACAGAACAACATTACAATAGAAAAAAAATGAACTGATGATTTGATGCCACTTCTTTCGTAGAGCAACAGTAACATGGAAATTGACATCCTGGATCTTCTCTCTTCAAATGTAACAACGTACAGTGTACGTCAAAAGTCTCGCACCACTAAAAGAAACGAAGTTCAGTCCTAAGAAAAAAATGACATGAAAAAAGACAAAATGATAATAGAAATGTTTGGAAAACTGTTTTGTTTTCCAATAGGGATTGTTATTTTAGGACTCCAGGTATTTTTCAGAAAAGCTCTATAAAGTCTGATAAAGTAAAAAGTTTTCTGAATACTTTGTGCTTTTTGTTGTTGATAGTTCATGGCAGTATCCTATTACAACAATATCATTTTGTCTTTTTTTATGTCACTTTTTAGTGTACTCAAAAAGTGAGTACACTACTAAAATCGGTCTGTGTGTCCGTCCGTCCGGCCGTTAACACGATAACTTTCGAAAGGAGAGTCAGATTGCGATGAAATTTTCTACACAGCTTAGTCTTGACAATATCTCGGTCGAGTTCAAAGATGAGAAGGATCCGCCAAGAAATGGCTGAGTTATCGAAAAAATTGTGATTTTTGACCAGACCATCCCTGAGGGGGGGTACGGGGATTTTTCGAAAAAAACTTTTTTGCTCATAATTATTCACAAAATATATAAATCGACTCAGTTTTTAACGCTGATTCTGAATCTGATATTAGTTTTGAACTGAATCATAGTTTTGTGTACTCAAAAAGTGAGTACACTATAGAATAGTCAGTGTGTCCGTCCGTCCGGTTGGCTGTTTACATGATAACTTTTGACGCCAGAGTCAGATTGCGATGAAACTTTGTACACAGCTTAGTCTTGACAATGTCTCGGTCGAGTTCGAAGATGAGAAGGATCGGCCGAGCCGTTCCTGAGTTATTGCAAAAATACCCATTTTTCCATATAGCTTTCTGTGGAAAAATGGACCCATCGCGACTTTCGTAAAAGACTTTTCCTATCATAGTCAATTAAAACCCCAACTATTATATACCATTCGATAGAGAATTTCAAGAACTACAAAATGATATATAAAACATAAAGAAACAAGAAGGTTGACTTAGCAATGACAAGGATAATTAAAGAGAACTAGGTTATATTTTGGTCCACAATCTAATTGATCCACAAATAGAGCTTTATCTTCCGGTGACACTGATGATACTTCGAGGTTTTCAGATATGGAGAACTCGAATGTGTACTGCACTTCCATCGAAATACTATTAGTTGTGCAGTGACCAATAGAAATGAAGTTATAGGAAAAACGACTTTCTTAGGGTAAATCAAGGGAAAAAGTTCAGACTTGAGCTGTATTCGGTCCCATGTCCTATTGGTTTGGCAACGCGCAATAGAAATCAACATTATAAATGGTAGATTTCACAGTATAATTTTGATATTCAGACAGTCTAGGATGATTGATTTGTATGATTCACTTTTTGAAGTACACATAACTCTCGGATTTAAATCCGAAGTTTCCGCATTTATTTTTCTTAGGATTGAACTTTGTTTCGTTTTATTGTATTTTATATGCAAAAATTTTTCATATTAAACAACTGTATATATATAGTGCTCGACCCCTACTATGCAGGCATATAATTGAATTAAATTAACGTTGTGTTGTTTTAATACATCACTCAGAACAAAAAAGTGATACGAGACTTTTAACGTGCACTGTAGATGAATACTGTTAACAATTTCCGTGTATAAAAGAACAGCAAATGCGCTGCAATATCTTTTCCTCTTATGCAGAGAAAAATAAACATTTCTTTCTCTTTCTTTGATGGATACAGCCTATTTACCGTTCTCTAACCTAGATTGTATTGACTTGAACCGATTTGTTAAACATATCTTTCTACTAGTAACAGTAATTATTTCTTGTTTCACATTTTAAGACACAAGTTCTTTCTTTGTAATATCATTCAAGGATAACAGATGCAACAAAAATTCAACATACTTCTGTATAGTTTTTATATAATATCTTAAGTGATTTTGATTGAAAACGCCTGTTGAAGACATATTTTTCGATGAAATGAAAAAATAAAAAATAAATCCTAAAATATCTTTATTCTTCAAGCAGATATTCAAATCGAGAAGACTTAAAAATAAAAACAAAATATTTTTCAAACCTATCTTTACTTATCCGATAATTAATTAACGGTTTTTCTTAAAGAAAATTTATTAATTTAGTTTCTTGCAAAAGTAGAAAACTAAACATTGAATGGATTGCGAGTCATGTGAATAGAATTCCATTCTTTTTAAGCGATAGCAATTGTTATACATAAAGATTGTTGGTATCACCTTAAAAAAATCATTACGACATTGAAAGATGATTATTCTTTTTAAATAAGAAGCATTAATTCAGTTGATTCAAATTGAAGATTAACATTAACATAAAATAAAGAAATGAGTTCTATTATTAAAAAGTATGTGTGAATGTTGAAGAATTCTTTTATTCCCATCAAATCAACATGAAGTTCTTTTTTGTAATTCAGTCAACTTTTTCACTATGTCGATTTCGCTGCTAGAGACATTTTTAATACAAAATTAAAATAAAGAACGAGTTTTATCATTAGTTTTTTGATAATAAACATTTTCGAAAATCTTTTGAATAAAACATGAAATTCTATCGATTCTAAGATGTTACAATCGTGAACATAAATTAATGAAAAATTCAATTCATTCCATTATATATCATAATATAATAACCTCGATTGGAATATTATTTCTCGTGCAATCACATACTCTTTGTGTATAATCAACTGACAGAAGATCAAATGTTGAATATATGAATATTAGGTTTAGAACGAAATAATTTGATCACTTTTGAAAAACAAGAAAGATCGGAATATATAGCAAATTTCGTTCATGGTTTTAAAGGAAAAATTTGGCTAATGAAAGAACTTTTTCAAGTTTGGCCTTTGAGCATTAGATAGACCCTAGGGAGGTATGAAAAAGCCAACAGGATATGTGTCCTTAGGAACTTCATCTAGAGTTCTATCCATTTTTCTATAATCGTAAGTAGAATGTTCTCTTCGTAAGATAATCAATTTTCAAAAATCACTCATACTCTACAAAAATATTGAAGAATCTCTTATTTTTCTATCTGTAGGCGAAATTTCAGGTCGAACTATCGTCATCGAAGATTTTGGCAGATCTCATAGCAATGAATTCTTTAAAAAAGTTGCTGAATTTATGAAATAAAATCGGAATCAAAACTAAAAAATTGATTTTTCAGTTTTCTACTTTCGAAGATATATTAAAAAACTAAATCAGTGATGTATTCTTTTTTTTTTGCAAAAAATTTCTTTGTGTAATTTCATTAATTTCGAAAATTTCAAATCAATTTAATCGAAAAATGTCAAGAATACATCAAGTGCTAGAAATAACTGCATTTTGTCTACATCATATTCGATCTCATGCAATAAAACTGACAAACAATTCACTTTTATATTAGAGTTTTTTTCTTCTCATAAAATGACATTTATCTTTTTATGATTAGTCGGTTTTTCGAGCTATATCTCATTATAATTAGGCAAAAAAATGAAAAAAAAAACAAAATCTATACTCGTGACAGAAAAAAAACACGTCACCATAATATTATAAAAGGACGTTTTTTAGCTTGTTCTTCGTATTGCTTCATGATAAATTAGTCAAGCATGTCTGTACATGCTATTAAGTTAAAATGATGTTGTTATTTTTAACGTCGTTTCACCGATTAATCGTATGTATTTTATATAAATTATGCAAGTCGTTATTAATGAGAATAAATCAATGTATCATGATTGTTGTGTTTCATCAAAAAGATATCTGTCTTATAGGCGAGTTATATAAGAGCTATTCCACTTAGCCCCTCGTTGTTGTTCTAGGGTCCGCATGGACCTATCATAGAAAATTACACAGAACCAATACTTTTGTTTCATCCAAACTATTCATTTGTGTTCTATAGGTCTCTAAATATCCTTTTAATAAAGACTGATATGATAGTTTCTATAGTACTAATATGAAGATGCACAACTTTGGGGAAAAGATTGTTTGAAGCTGCTTTCAAACAGTATTCAATGATAAAAAATTGAAGGACGATCATTTCTTTTGTGTCACAATGATGACGTTGTTCTCATTTAACCTTCTTTGGTGAAATCAATATTTTCTTCACATATCAGACAAGCTACTATAGTGATGTTGCTAGAATGAGAAAGACAAACATTCTGTCTACATCTATGGAAGGTTTATCGGACTTTCCGGCCATATTGTGTTGGACGTAAATGACATCTTCTTTTTGCTCTGTTCAAATGGCTATTCATATTAAGATTTCCGACATTTTCTGAATGGAGATGATAACAGAAGGATGACAAAACAAATTTTAGACGCGAGACAACAGATGACAGCTTGAACAAGACAAAAATGAGGGGGAGAATTTTGTGCATTTAGATGACACTAGAAATTTCATTTTTTGCGGAGTGATCTTCTTTTTACATTTGTCAGTTTGAAAGAAAATGAGTTAGAAATTAATATATAAATCCTGATCATAAATCGATTGCTAAATAGTGATTAACAAATTTGATCCTTATTTTATCGATCGAGACTGAATTTATTAGTCTGGTAGGAATCGAAAAATTTAAGATCAATGTTGGAACATGTAGTGAGAGTGATTATAAATTCGGAAACAACTTGTGACCTGTTAACTTTTCAAAAATTATTTCTGATTCTTCATTGAAATTTCTTGAATATGAAGTTTATTTGCATGAAATTTCAACACAGTACATTTATCGTCTATTTTTGTCAATTTTAGCTTTTGATACATTTTGTTTGAAATCTTTCAAAAATGATATCTTCAAATTCAGTTATTGAACCATCGAACGAATATTGTAAATATGATGTTAAGTGCAAAAAAGCAGCTATGAATCACTGTCAAGGATGCGGACAAATATACTGTATGGATCATTATTTAAAACATCAAAGAAAACTTCAAGAAGATTTTGAATATGTAATGCATATACAACACTTATTTAGGCTAAATTTCAAGTCATTTATGTCATTATCATCAACGGATACCACTTTAGATTTAGAAAAACAAATTCATGAATTCAAAACCAAATCAGAAGATATTGAAAAAAGAATAAATCTAATCCAACAACAGCTACATGATATCATTTATCAAGATAAACAAAATTTGACAAAACAATTGATTACAATGACAAATGGATTAGAACATTATCAGAATGATTGTCTTGAAAATGATATTGAACAATTAAGAAAAGATATTGAGGGATTAAAATCAAACCTAGACGAAATAAATCATGAAAATCAAACAATGAAATCATCGTCAACAAATTTTGTATCAACAAACGAAGAAAATCGTTTACAATTTGTTGTTGGTATTTCAAGAAATAGTGCAATACAACACGCAGATGACACAACAGCACTATCTCATCGATATCTCAAACAAATGAGTCCATCGATCTTAAATATAAATGAAAGTGAACGTGTTCTAACCGAAGAAGAAGAAATGATAGGGGTTATCAATTTTAATACAACATCAAGAGTTAGTCATAAGATACATCTTTCCCATAACTATATTCGATGGATACGAGGTCCCGCTAAAATAATGATTCATGGTATCACACACGTGGCCGACGTGTATACACAAGGAATGCATATCAGTGATGCTGTTGCACAAGCTGTCAAGCAAGGATTAGACAAACAAAAGCAGAATGCGATGACCAAGAATTCGTTAAAGTCAGCATTTGCCAAAATTACACCAGATTGGATGTTTGAAGGCGAAAATGCTGATCGAGGTTTCATTAGCGCATCCATATGGATGCGTGATCCTCAAGGTCAAAGAATTTTAGTCAAAACACACGGACATCCATTATCTGCTGTCAATGAATGGCTAGCCTATATTCTAGGAAGATCACTTGGTTTGCCTGTTAATGAGGTGCAGATTGCGATTTATCTAAATAAACTGGTTAGTTTACATACCGATATTGCGAATGAAAATGAAAAGATTATTACATTCATGGAATTACCAAAGCAAACAAGAAAATCTCTATTGACTTATCCAATAATAGAATCTATGGATCTATTCGATCATATTATACAAAATGTAGATCGTACTCCACGAAATATTTTAATTACGATGCCAAATACAACTGCTATTACTGATGATACTTCAACATGGAAGATACATCTAATCGATCATGCTTTCTGCTTTGGAGTAGGTAAACGAGATGTCATTAGTGCCATAGCCTGCAAGCTTCATAGTAAACATCTTTCGGTAGTTAAATTTGATCCGATAGATGAAGGAAGAAAATTTGAACGATACCTCAGCAAACTACCGATAGCAGATCGCAATTTAATAAGAAACACGTTGAACCGATTTGCAGCAATTACTGATGATCAATTTGATAGTTGGATGAACGAAGTACATGATCTTCTATCATCTAGTCAATACAATCGTATACATGACGTCTTATGTCGACAACGAGACATTGCAAGATACTACACGGTACAATGAAGAATTTATCCCACTTATTCAAGTATAAAACCAAACGAAGCAAACCAACCAACTGATATTCGAGATAAATGACATTATCATGGATTTATAAATAAGAGAGAAAATATCTTGATGATGAGGGTGAAGGCGTGAGTTTCAAATAAATTCAACAAAGAATTTTGAAAAATTTTCAAAGAGCTCTCAAGACGTGTTTTGAATCTTACTTGCAGATCGAACGTAGAAGGAAAAATATTTGTGACCAAAGCCTTTCATTAGATTTTATAATGATTTTCATGTCAGTTGATTCCTTAATTAAGATATTGATTCGTTTTTTTTGCTTTTCTAAATGACAGTGCGAAAATTTTTTGTATGACGGCTTGTCTAAATGTAACGCTGTGGCGTTTTTGGCACACTTTTTCAATTATCTCGGGAGCTATGAGAACTAGAAAGTTCGTTCAAGCACCATTCGATACAGATTATCGTAATCTGTATATGAAATAAAAATGACGTTGTTTGGTTAAAGTTTTGACATCTCAGAAAAGATTTTTGATCGCATAACACTGTGGCATAAAGAGATCATGAATTTGGCCATCGAAGGAGCTTTTCAAAGGTAGAAAAAAGTTTTCCTCTAGCTATTGTTACTCGTGCAAGAAAAGTAAAAACAAAACGTAATGCTATGATACATTTTTTTTCTAGAGACCTATCTTAGGTCTCTGTAAGGTTCAGAATGGCCTGTTTCATTAAAGTGTACTTCTGCTATAGATTAGAAACGCTCAGGAGTATGCATGCATCGAATCCGAACGTTCAGGCTCAGTATCATTCTAAGTACATTTCCGAAATAGTAATATATACTGATTGTCTATTGTTACGATCAGATAAGTGTGAAAATGCCTGAACATCACTCACTACTACCCAACAGTATGTATTCGACTTGCGATAATTATTTACATCGTGGAATAATTTCTCACTATTCGATATTCTCATCGAACGACAATACGTACTCAAGTCGAGTGGAATAAAAGGGGAGACTGAATCTAGGTGTGGGTGTGAGCGTGTGTGGCTGTGGCTGGGCGGATGTGGATGTGCATGGGTGGGTATGGATTGGTGTAGGCGTAAGTGTAGGTGTGGTTGAAGATGTAGTATGTGCGTGTGGATGTACAAATTAGGTCTATTCCCACTCACATGTTTGATTTTATTTCTATATTAATTTCCATAGCACTCAATTCTGTCGTTGTACTATCGAGCAGACGGATAAAAATAGGGATAATAAGAAATCCTTCATTGGAATCATCGTTTCATATTCGCAGTCGAGTCTAAACAACTGTGTACAACATATGCACAATCAATAATATAAATTGAAATACCTTATCTAAATAACAAGTACTTCGAAAAAAAATGACCTAGTGCTGTAAAAGAAATCATATTTGTGACCAAGCTTGAATAATCCAAATGAATTGTAATCACATGCGGATATAAAATAATATTCGAAACTTCAGAAAAATAAGATATATTGTATATGGTCGATGAATATGCACATATTATGTACGACGCAGTATACAGTATGTTTCAACTCGTGCAAATCGATATGAATTGTATGTGCTATGCTTGAGTAATATTGATCATTCGTTGAATACGTGTTCTTTTGCTGTTATTTAATCAGATCGTCTCATAACTTCCGATCATTAACAATAGATATAATAATAAATATCTTAGTATGTATTGAAATTGATTTCTAAATTGAATATCTCATATACAATCGTCACTTGAATTTCTATCGATTGAATTCTGAAAAAAGAAAACATAATAAAACTTCTCTGAAACGTATTCTCAGCGAATGGTTTTGGTTTCCTACTGCTAGTTTTGATTCGATCAGTTATTGTTTATTAATAAGAAGATTCGTCAGTAGGCGACCAGATACACGTGTTCGTCGGAAGTATGCTGACAGCAAATGAGTTTTTTTTTTCTTTCTTTCCTAATACCGATTGGCATGAAATTTCTTTTCTTTTATTGTAAATGATAAAAATGCATCTATATTAAAATATAAACTCACAACATACAGGTAAAACTAAATTAGTCATCAGACAAGACTTTAAGATTTTCATAATCTACAGAATTTTCTTTATGTTTTATCATGATTTACTTCAAAAATAATATTGATAATTAGTATGAGTCATAAATTAAAAACTATAGTTTCGATGAAGTGTTGAAGGATATTTGCAAAAATCATAATGAGAACATTTTTTTCGACATAGAATGTTTTTTCGTTCTCTTTTTTTCAAGAGCTCGATGTAGCATACGTTGCATGTTATTATTGTAGTCGCCATCATTATCCAACAGTATGAATATTTAATAAAATCTGGATCAATCGAAAACGATATACTATTTTCGATATTCAAAAGAAATATCGTGCAGAAAAAAGTCAAAGCTTATCTGATTTCACTAGTGTGAACAAATTTTATTGTCGACAATAATATAACAATTATATTAGTTACTATCATATAATCAGAATAGTATATAAGAATAGGTAGATGAATATCATCTTCACCATATAGTAATATCAATTATCACGTTGTTTATATGAAGAATTCATTCAGTACTCATTCGTCCTCTTGTGGTCTATTTCATTATATTTTGTACTCATCTCATCAGATTAATGATTTAACGAAGATATTCCTAACGATTTTGGATCCTATCGTTTTATCGAATTGTTATCGAATAGGTAGTAAAATTATTGAATACAGTGATATTCATTGTTGTAATTTACTGCCAACAAACGATCTGAACTTTTTTTGATAGTAAAATGCGGGATATGACATTAACTCCTATTTGTATCGATTAATTAAAGAAATAATAAAATTGAAAGAATGATCACATGATTTAATATCATGTATAATCTAATACGAATCAGAAATTGTGTATATTTTTGTAATTAATAATAAACGTCTAAAATAAAGTAAGAAAAAGTTTCTTCTTACTTAATACGAAATTTGTTTAAGAATTCTACATTCACAATCTCTAACGTTAATCAAATATTTAGTAAATAAAACAGTGTATGGGTGCTTATTAAACTCTTTTCACATGCGCACACCCAGACGTCAGTTTCAGTATTTACGGGTCTATTCATGGTCCAAGGAGCTTTTGTGCTTCAAAAATAATATTTCCAGCGTGAGACGTACGAGGTGAAAGTCAATTATTTCGATTTTCAATCAACCATTTCACAAATATCAGTGGATTGGATTGGAATCGTGCATTCATTATTTTTAATAGACGATGATCATCTTGGAGTAGAGCTACAAAAACATCATCAGCAATATCCCCTTTTTCGAAAATAGCTTTCTCATTCTCTTTATGTGGTTGCGGACACAAGGCTAAGCGTTGACAATAGGCGTCTTGTTCATTGACATTCTCAAAGTAGTTAGTACCATTGAAAACAAAGAACTACCAAATAATTGTCGGGTATGAGAAAGAAAGGAAGGGTGTGGATATCAATCTTGTGATCATTCATACCAACATCCACGCCCTACCCACCCTCTTTGCTTGAAATCATTCGTGATCTAGCAACATCAATAAAGACAAAACATTTCATGCACATTGAACTGCTGGAAAACCGTCGGTTTTATTATTGAAACTGTATATTATCAATGTTGTTGCAGCCTAGAGATTTAGCTAATGTATCGTTAATTTTTAGTGATATTTCATTAATTTTTTATGGGTTTTGTATTTTAAAAAATGTACAAAACAAATGAACGAACAATCTAAAAAACTGAATAAATTATTTTCAGTTTTCAAAAGTGATCGATGTTATTCTTTTCTGAAAAAATCTCCATAGAAAAGCAATAATGAACTACGGTTTTGACTATTTATAGGAGAACTTTGAGGAGTATAAAACACATTTCATTTGATTACTATGAATTTGATCGACAAGATGAGTTTTTAGTACAGATATTGAGAACCGTTTTCAGAGAGCTTTAAAATAGTATTTTGATCAAATTTATTCTTGTTTTTCAATAAAATCTCAAACTCTATACAGCTAGAGACCAATATTTTCTTAGTATTATCGTTGAAGAGTCGAAAACTTTGTCGAGAACCGATAACTGAACGAACTGCATTTGAATCATTTCAAAACAGATAAATATGTAGTAAATGAAGCGCATAGATTTTATTTATATACATTTAAAATATCCAGTCGACAGATGAAAAGTCTGAAAATCTGACTATTGATGTCTTACAGTCACAACTACACTGACAATCAGTTCATCTTATTGTGATCTTAGGATACTGTTGGTTATTCTTTTTATCTTATGTGATTTTAATTGATTGAAGGTGGCACAATGCGCTACCAACTATAGAAGTCAGAAACTCTGCGTAAAAAATAAAATTAATTTCTTTCAAAATAAAATATTTATATTGTTTTCACTAGTTTTGTTTATATGAATTTACTCAAAAATCGATGATTTAAACAGAGAATCGATCGAAGACCAAAAGATACATGAATTTAAAAAAAAAATTGTTGTATTATCAACTACTTTGAATGCTTGGCAGAGAAAAATGTGTTTAATTTGAATCAAGATTTAAAATTAATGAACTAAAAGATGATCGTGTATAAATAACTACGGTTTTGTTTAATTATTTTTTGCTTGTAAGAAAAAGTTTTATTTGTGAATTGAACAATTACTATGCTTTTTAATAAATATTCTGATAAAAATATATCTTTTAACTCGTTAAATACAATATCCTGATCATCAGAGATATGGATTTTCGATCTTATCTCATCATTTTTGTTACAAAAGCTTGATTACCTATAAAGTTTAAAATCATCTTACTTGGATATGGCTAAAAATAACACAAACACAAACACCAACATCTACATCCACTTAAAAATTCAATTCAAACTATGTCTATCAATGAATCTTTTTCATTTAGAATAACATGACAATTTAAAAACAAATAAAATATTTGATTTTGTATGGTATTGACATAGATCGATGGCATTATTGTTCTTCAATTATTATGTCTCTCCT